GGAAGTTTTGGGAATGTGAATTTAGCAGTACCCAGAAAACAAAGCTCTCAAATTACTCCATTAATGGCCGTGAAATCTTGTGTGGTTTCGCAATCCGCTTCACTGATGAACGAGAAATTGGTACTGGACGAGCTTAAAGATTGCTCAGAAATCATTCGTTGCTTCGGAGAAAGTTTTAGTTACGAAAATGGGGAGAAATTATACAACGTACTTTTGGAGTATGCTTCCGGTGGAAATTTGGCTGATAAATTGAAGAATTCTTCTGATCAGAGGATACCGGAATCTGAAGTCCGGTGTTACACTAAAACTTTGCTCAAAGGGCTTCACTATATTCACATGGTAGGTTATGTTCACTGTGATATTAAGCTTCAAAACATTCTATTATGCCAAGACGGTGGAGTAAAGATTGCGGATTTTGGATTGGCGAAGAGAGCCGGAAGAAAAGAAGAGGGTGTTTCGAGTTATGAATTAAGGGGCACACCTTTGTATATGTCGCCGGAGATGGTCGCCGGAGGCAAGCAGGATACCCCTGCTGACGTATGGGCACTTGGGTGCGTGGTGGCGGAGATGGTCACCGGAACACCGGCGTGGAGGTCCTCCGACTTGACGGCGCTTCTGATGAGAATTGGGGTTGGTGAAGAGGTCCCTGACGTACCAGGTAATTTATCAGAAGAAGGAAAAGATTTTCTTGAGAAATGCTTTGTGAAGGACCCAAGTAAGAGATGGACGGCTGATATGCTCCTTAATCATCCCTTTGTTGCGGATCAAGATTTTGATGACACTGAAAATATTGCCTCCACATCTCCCAGATGCCCATTTGATTTCCCTGATTGGGCATCATCAGTTACATCTTTTCCGTCGCCGGAATATTCCCCAGAATCTAACTTCTGGTTTTCGAGCAACTCAAATTTGGTGAGTGAGTCACGGTCCATTTCGCCGGAGGACAGGCTGCTGGGGTTAATAAGCCATCAGGATCCTGATTGGTCTGTTTCAGATGATTGGATCACCGTTAGGTGATGGAAGAATAGTCGTATTCAAATTTTTTGAAGATCTTATTCTCCAGGCACTGAATTTTTATTTTTATTTGTTAGTTTAGTTTTGAGGTTAATTTTTTCTGTTGTACATAAAATTTGATAGAGAGGGATACATGCAATGGATGCTTTCTGAATTCAGAATCTGAGTCCCTGATTGTACAGTTTAGTTTTTAATGTAAATAATTACATTAATTCAATTCATATTTTTTCTTGGAAAAATGAGAGTTGCAGTGTTGCTTATCGTGTTGATAATTTGCTCAATTGGCCATTGTCTACTTGCATTATTTATTGGGATTCTGCTTTATTTCTTGCAACTTACTATCTAATCCGTATCAACGTCCCCAAAGATAACAACAGAAATAAATAATCCAATCCAACTTGAAATTTTGTGCACATATAAAATCAATGAACAAGCCATAGTACCCTTTGGAAGTTGATTTTTTCTTATGTATATTGTTCCTGTTTCCCGATGTGAGAAACCCCACGAACGATCCAAGGGTCACACCTTTAGCTTAGTAGCAGTCGAGCTCGGGAATAGTCAATATGGTGATGAAATGTTGTTTACTGGTTCATAAATGTGAACTTGAAATCTTTGGTCTACATTTACAAGGTCTACTATTACTCCACATGTGAACATGCTAAGTTGTATCCATTTGCCATTTGTTTTAGTCAAGTCTTGATGCAGCAAATGTATGTATGTCCGAATTCTTGCACCCTTACCTAATTGGAGGTTAGATACTCGAAGGAACGAAGATTATTACATGTGACTTTGTTAATAATAAACCAAAACTATGTAGTTTTAAGGAAAGGATCATATTATCAAAAGCATCATATGAGGATCGGATAGTGACTTTTGGGTATATTCCGAAAAAGTTTGTTATCACTAAAGGAGATGATTAGAGACGAGTTTACATTATATATGATGATAAAGAGAGAATATTTTAAGAAATAAATATTTTCAGATTACTATGAAATGCTCCAATAATTATGGAAATATTGTATTAGATTACTGGAAAATAAGGAAAATCGGTTAAATGTTGTAAATTAATTGGGATAATTTGTAGTATATTGTTGAAAAAGGTGATTATATAATATAAATTAGTAACTTTGAAACATTCAAAAATCTAGTAAATATAATTATGTTCACATCACATTTTTATTATTAATTAGTTTCACCACATCTTCATTGATTTTAAGGTCCTCAGGTTTTTTTGTTTACTGTAATAGTTATGTCCCTATTTTTCCATTGAATTCTTATTTCAATCTTCTATTAAATACGGGGGAAAATAATGTCATAGTTTTTATTTATTATTTTTTAGTTATTATAATAGGCAAATAAAACTTTTTATGCAATCACAGTGGATCTTTTGGACTAAAATCGTTATAAGATGTGCTAATAATAAAATGTAGAATATTATAGTATGCCGAAAAAAGCCTGCTAAATAAGTGCTACAATGAGTAAAGATTGATGATCTTAAATGCAATTAAAATATGGTACAACTAATAAAAACTATGGTGTGAATATAATTATTCATCTAGTAATGATTAAAAGTCGAAAAAAGTAGGTAAACGATCAAAGGACACCCTTAGGTTAACAACAGACGAGCTCGGGCTTGACAAGATGCAAAATTTGAGCCATGGATCCTTTAACTTCATGTTAAATATAAGGGAAAAATTCACAGGTCGGGTTTTAAGTATGGAGCAATTTAATTTTCAGATTTTGAGTTTCAAAATTCAAAATCGGGTATTAATTAAATAATTAAAAATATTTTATTAATTAAATATATTAAAGTCACAATTATATAATTAATAGTCACATGTGCGTAATTATATGTCACAACTTATATATTAGTCACATATTATCAAATTGATTGGTCACATATTATTTTATGGTCACAAAGCAAAAAATATATAGGTCAAAGTTTAATTGTTGGTTACAATTTTTCAAATTTGTTGGTCGTAGATTATTTTTCAATCACAAACTATCGAATTTTCAAATCACATATAACCAACTTGTTGATCTCAGATTAACCAAATAGTTGATCACATTCCACGACCACCACCATGCCCACTTGCGACCACCACCACCAACATAGTCTAATAGCGCCACTACCACCAACACAACCCCATCGCCAACGACTCGAACACCGACATAGCCTCAACAACCCACCACCATCACTGACTTGTAGCATTTAAAGTGCACTCTAATCCCCCAAGCACCGATCCAACATTGTCACCATGACCACTCAATTATTACAATCGTCTAGCATTGCCATCACCATGTGTTCTCCACCCAAGTCGTTACCACCACCTCAAATCCACAATTACCACCACTTTTACCTCAAATTACCAATCCATACCCACCAACTGAACACCTGACCACCAATCGCAAAATCACCATCGTACCGCACAACACAGAACCACCACCACTTATACCATCGCACAACACAACCACCAAAAACACCACAAACCACCGCAACAAAACCACAAAAAAGGATCGCGCGACAGTGCTGCTATGCACGGATCTGTGCGAACCTAGCGCGACGGCAATGCCCATCATTGAGTGAACACCCATGGCTATGCAAACATAGTTAATCTGAATCTGACTAACCCATTATGCAAACACCCACGACTATATAAGCACATTATATCTAAATCTGACTTGGCCTCTTCTCTGCACACTATAGCCTCTCCACATCACCGTAGCTACGCCTGGTCTCTCTGCATAGAGCCCTGCTGTGAGCGCTACTGCCTTCTATTAGTTGTTACAACGCTCACAACGAAGAGGATGGAGAGAGATGATCTTCGACAGCAGTGCTCTCTAGTGGTGGCAACGGCGACAGCGACAGCGATGGTAAGTCCATTTGTGGAGGGAGGGTAGAAAGAGACGGTATAGGAAGATAGAAAGTAGAGGAAGATGAGGAAGAAAATGATTAGTGTAGAAATATTGTGTATATAAATTAATTTATAATAACAATAATGTTATTATTAAACATCTAATGAATAGTGAAACTTATCACCTGACTTTAGAATTGTATTATTTAAAATTCGGGTGCAGTGTAATTTTCACTAAATATGATATAACCTACCCGAAAGATCAGTCCAACCCAGCTTAAAATTTTAGCATAACCTAAAATTCAATTTAATTTCACCACTGAACGCCACCACAAAGTGTAGCTAATTAAATTTTCTAGCATCTATGTTTAGTTAAAAAAAAAAATTATGAATATATATAGAAATTTAGCTTGCTAATATTAACGTGAAACTTTAGGTCATAAATTTGGCCCTTGTTTAAGGGATAAACCCTCTCATCCATGGCCGCATGGGCCCAGGATTTCCAGGACGCCTATGTGGCGCTGAATTTCTAGAACAGCTGTTGTTTAAGAGGTCCCGACAATATGGTGATGAAATCTTGTTTACTGGTTCATAAGTGTGAACTTGAAATCTTAAGATGTGAACATGCTAACTTACGTATTATACAATCCAATTGCAATTGTTTCAGTCAAGTCTTGATGTAGCAAGTGCATGTACACTCTTACGTAATTGGAGGTTGGAAAATCAAAGGATCTAAGATTATTCACACCACATTCTTCATTTTAATTGCATCTAAGGTCCTTAACGTTCACTGTAACAATTATGTCCTAATTTTTTTTCGTCGAATTCTGATGATCAACTTTCTATTAATTAGCATATTTCGTCTTTGATAATGGATTATGCTAAAATATTTCGTTGCGTTTTTTTTTTAAATGAAGAAAAATTGTTGTCATACTTTTGTATTTATTATTTTTAAACAATTATATGGGCAATAAATGGTTTTATGCCTTCCCAACAAACCTTTTGGACATAAATTGTTATTAGATATAAGATGTATAATTAATGAAATTTCAACGCATGTAAATATAAATGAAAAAATTAGGGATATAAGTCCTAAAATGAAAAAGACTGAGGATCTTACATACAATTAAATTAATTAGAATATAACAATTATTCCTTAAATTAATTTGAATATTCTAAACGGTGATGTACAACAAACAATACACAGCAACAAATAGTGATACAAGGAAGTAGAAAAAGCGCAGGGCCCCCACGTGGCCAAGTCTGGGCTGGATGGGCTGCCAGGCCCAAGTTTTTTTTTTTTTCCATTTCTATTTTTTTCTTTCTAATTTTAGTTTTTTATTTTATTTTCTGGAAATAAACAAAAAAATAAAAATAAAGGAGCTGGCTAAAATGCAATACAAATCTTGGTTTTCCAAAATCTCTAACCTCATCACGTGCCACTATTGAGGCCTGTCAACTCCTGGCCCCGGCCCATAAATATGACTATGCACCCACGTGATCTCGATTTTATACGAAACCCGACCGGCCCATAATTTAATTGTAAGTGCAGTTATTCTTCAAAGAAAGAGCCACGTTCATTTTCTTGGGATCCATAACCACAGAGCATTGAACCCTTCTACGAAACTTGGGCTTCACCAATCGACCCAACACGTAGGCCCTGGCTCGAATCATGAAATTCAATGTCAATGGCACAGGTGCAACTGGCTTCCCATCTTGGCTGCTTAAATTTGCTCCTCCTCCATATAATGGAATATTGCTTCCTCTCAACATCACCGTTATCTGTCTTCGACTTTTTCTCGATTGATAAAATTTATTTATCTGCATCAGATTCCGAGGTCAACAAAAATTTATGATCAATGTTCACGAATAAAGTGAATTGAGTTAGTACTTACAGTTCCACTCGCTACTCTCAGTTCGGAGAACGATAGATCTAATGTAGTGGACGATACATGAACGCCAAAAAATGTACCAGTGTTATGGAAAATAAGCTTGACGGTAGTATTCATGGTCACCATCTCAGTTCCAACGCCGGAGTTATCTGACCCAGCTTGGATCATAAATTTATCGAACATTATACTCTGCAAAATCCATTCGATTATATCAAATTCTTTCGACTTATAAAATATGTCACACTTTTGTTATAGTGTGACAAAGAATAAACGTATTACTTAATCACGAGCATGGAATCTAATTATGGGCAATTGCATTATTTTGATAGAGAAGTTACTTATAATTGAGAATAATTAAAGAAAATCGAAGATAAAAGTATTACCTTAACAGTGACAATAGGTTTCTGATTTCTGCTTGCACCCCACAAGATCAAAGCAAAGAAACTAAACAGCACAAAGAAACCAACAATGAAGATAAGCAAATAGCACCGCCGTGGAACACCCTTATGGCCACCCTCTTCATCAAGAAGCCCCTCCTCTTCAATGGCATCGAATTCTTTCCAACCCTTCTCCGCCTTCCGGTGGTTGTGGTGGTTCCGCCTCGATCCATTACTCGATTTCTGCGATCCCGGCTTCAGCGAGCCGGAGTATCTGGTAGAGGAGGAGTCCCGGGAGTGGCGGCCCGGAGACCCCATCGGACTGAGAATCGGCGTAGAATGGAATGAATTCGTAGTCTTTTCTCCATCGTGAGAATCCCTCGATGGACTTTGCACGTAGTAAACCGCTCGATTTGGCGACGACGGGGCCAAACTGGTCACTTCTGAATCTGTTTTTGCATGCATTGATATTGTTGGGTGAAATTTTCAGTTTCAGAGAGAAGATTTGAAGAAGAAGAAGAAGAGGAGGAAGAGGTGACAATGAAATATGTGAAATAGATCTTGAACGGATGGCAATTTTAGTTTATATTTGAGGAAGTCTAGAAAGTCTAAACCGCACGTTATGGTCTGTTTTGTTTAATGTTTATTTCTATCTCTTTCGTGTGATGGCAAATTTATTAAGGGAAGAAGAGACAGGCGTATCAAACACAGAAAACAATGCCAGTTGTAAATTACGTAGTCTTGTTTTATTTTGGACAGTAGTGTAATCCTGGTACTTGGTACCAAACCCTACGTTTCTCCTGTTCTTTTTAAAAAAATTCCATCTTCCAATGTATAAAAATGTCAAATCTTGTCCGTTACCATTTCCTGGCAAGTTTTTCTATTTGAGTAGCATGATTGATATCTTTGCATAGTGAATTTGCAACAAAAGCAAAGTCATAAAATAGTTGCTAAGGCCTTGTTTGATCCCCATTATGTTTTCATTAAAATGAAAAATATGACTATTATCCATCACATCAAACTACTATATTTGACTTTTTACTTTTTGTGCGGGGCTCATAACGACTATATTTTTCATTCTCATTTTTACAATAATGTGGCTTAAACGGGGGCTAAACTTGTTGAGTAAGTTAGGAAAAAAAAAGTGAAGGCAGCAAAACGTATTATTATAAGAATCGTGATTATATATATAATGCTTAGTATTGTGATTTTTTTGAGATTAAGATAAAAGTGAAGTCTTATTAAGGGGGCGTTTGTTTTTCATTTTTGTAAAAATGTGAATGAAAAATATAGTTGTTATGGGTCCCAGACAAGAGATATAAATTCAAATTTGGTGGTTTGATGTAATGGATAACAGTCATATTTTTCATTTTAATGAGAAAAGAATGGGTGCCAAACAGGGGCTAAGTGAGTGAATGAATAAAAGGTTTTGAGAGTAGTAAGCTTTGCAAGTTGAAGAAGACTAAGTAGATCATATATGGAATTGTCGACATTATACAATCGAAACGATGAAAGAGTAAGTAATTAGGAAAATATCCTCATGAAATTGAATTAATTAATACAGCCATCAATTTATGTTGCGTGATTTTAGGTCTGGAAAAATGACTTTCAAAGTCAAGGCCCCCATAAAGATAAGTCAACCAAAGTTGCAGCAAGTAAATTTAGTCCCTGTTTGATAGAACTTTCTTTCCATTTATTTATTTATTTTTTTGTGTGTGAAAAGAATGAATTTTTGAAAAGTAAATTTTTTGAGAATGTGTGGTTAAAAAGTAAAAAAAAAAAAGTTTCTGATTAACGTGAAAAATATTTTATTGTGAGAATGCATAATTGAAAATGAACGTGAGAAAAAGAGATTTTTGAAAGAGTTATTGTCAAACAGGGGCTTAAGGTAGGATTATTTATTTATTTTTATTATTATTATTATTTTTAAAATCTTATTTGTACTCAACAAAGTCATGGAAGGAAATATTTTTATGCACCCAAAAATGTTCTTTTAGATAATGCATTACATATTTTGTAATTAGAATAGTGGATCGACGACTCAATTACCGTTGACATTTAAAATCTATTATGGAACGGATTCCCAATTTGTAATAATTCAAAATAAAAATTTTAATAATTTAATTTGCCGACCATATGTTGTCAATAAATAAAGTAAAGAAATTTCTTGCTGTTAAAATATTGACAACGAAAATTCATCGGGAATATAGTCGTCGAAATGAAAAGGTAAAGAATACAAAAATTCACATTGAGATTGGCAAGGATCATAGGATCTTCGACTAATAAGGTGGAAATGGTGGTTCTTGAAGTCTTGCATTTGGGGTGGGAGAATTCGAGGCTTCAACCAATAGAACATGTGATTAGTGAAGGCAGATATGCTGAAAATATGTTAGGTGAATGTAGCTCAACAACTGAAGATTTTGAATTGCACAATAGCATTGTCCAATTCAACCTACCAAACATGTCCACTACATTTTTTATCTACGTCGCCATCGACTTCATTGTCTACATACAAATATTAGGATAAAATTTTGGATAACCTGCCCTAAACAGCTGAAAGCCTGAAAAAGAACCCAAAAGCTTCACTGACAAAATGGGTCTAGTTACGCACTCTGCAGTTTAAATTGAATGGCTATGGATTTCCATGTGGAGAATTTCCTAATGAATGGAGGGGCCCTTCAGTAACATGCTTGATGTTTCTTAGTTCTTTTCGTACTATAATTAGTAATAAAGCCTGTTTGGCATGACTTTTACTTAACCCACATTTGTTGGGATTCTCCTAAGAGAAGCGTGACTTCTAAAAAATCATGCCAAACGGGCCCTAAGCCTTTGTTATGGCTTGAAAAACTGACAGCATATGATGTAGGACTTGTCTAGGAATTGATTAGCATTACAATACAATGAATGGCTGATCCTGCCTTAGGAAAGACAAGGCTCTAATTCAAAAAACAGATTAGTAGTAAGCAAAAATTTGCAACTTCCTCTTATAACTTAACAAAAGTATTATATCAATGGACAGAAAAAATAAAATTTCTGTCAAACTTGAAGCATATAACATTGTAGTTTCAGATTGAGGTTCTGAATTTCATCCAGAAGAATTCAACAGAAATTTTGACATTGACAATGTGGTCTTGCAGTGATATTACTGAATCTGTATTCCTATAAAACTCAATTGGAAGATTACAAGGTAAAATAAGTAGGCACCGGTAAATCTTTCACGCAGTGCTTTATTAACATTCAATCACAAAAAATATCACTCTTTTAAAACTTAATCATCTTTGATCCCTCATTATTATTAGATACAAACAAATGAATTAACTAGCATGGGAAAGCAACTTTACCCAAATAGGTAGAAATTAATGCCACAGCTGGAGAACCACAGTTAAGAAAATCAAAAGAAACCAATGACGGTCGAGTGGTTTGCTTATCAAAGAATTGTTGCTGGGCTCTGACGACGTTCCCGTGGGTGAAAATCTTGCAGGTGGTGGTGGAGAAAATGCAGGGACGTCACATGTGCCGAATGTTGCATTTGCCTGCCATATTTTGGGTACATTTTAAAGATCAGGTGAATCGGTAAAGCACGTAGACAAGTAGAACTTTCTCCAGCATTGAAAATCTTTCAATAAACCAAAGGAATAGTATCGATTCATATCATGTTTAATTATCATACCTTGCAATAGGCAATGCTGTCACAGCCACAGGTCAAATGTCCATTGGCTTCATCAACAGCTTCTGAGGCTCCCCCTCCGTCGCTCCTCTGCAACAAAAACAGCAAAAGAACTACATTATTTTTCTGTCTATCCATAAAACAGTCTTAGCTTTTGAACAGATTTTGTCCAAAGAACTTGCGTCCATCAGTTCATACCCGGTAAAAATCAACTGCAATGAAATTTGGCCATCGCTTGCCCGCTGCTTCATGACAAGTTTTCATCATACTGATTAGCTGTGCAGAATTGTCGACACAAGCTTGTGTAACATTGGGATTTGTAGTAAAATAATTCTGAAGAACCAGAGAAATTGATGATGTGCTCATTGGAGAAGATTCTGCACGGTTTGGACATGAACCGGCTATCATCCCTTCATTTCCATCTGCAAATACCAAAGTTCAGTATTTGACTCCTTATACAGATTCTTAAGAAACGAATTCATATGGTTGAATAGGAGAAGATCAAAGTTTCTGTTATGCTTCCAAAATCTTGGATCCTTTTATGCATTCTGTACTATAAAGTTCTATTGCAGTAACAAGTAGTGTCATCAATAATGGAATTGTATAACAGCTATTACTACAGTTATACTATTCTTATAGGAGACCAAGTTTTCTGGGATGAATTTTAAACATCATATATCACAAACTTCCGAATGAGTAGCAATAGGAAATATTCAACATTGATGGTCCAAATAATTTGGTACAGAGAGTCTTGACAACCCATATTTTTTGTCACCATATTCCTTCTACAGCATCTCTTACGAGAATCCCATCAAATGTGGGTTAAGTAAATGTCTTACAGTAGTAGTAAAATTATGGAATATCATAACTCACATTGACTTTCCACCACATATTTCCATTCATAAGCGATTCCTTCAGAAGCCTCCTTAGATGATTTAGAGGTGAATACTACCAAGCGTTGATTCTTCTGGACCATATCATCCACTGTAGGCCAATCTTCACCAGCTTTAGGCATTTCAGCCACCGGGAACCAGTATTTATTGAGCCCAGATGCATTGAAAACTTTTGACAAGCCTTGTGGCGAAGTCACATAGTCCTCAATGAAGATGGTGACAATTTCACTAGGGTTTTTCTCGAGAAAGACTTGAATTTCTTTCAGCACATTAGAAGCAGGTTCCTGAGAATTAATTTGAACTTCAAAAATAAAAATGCATGGTATCAGGAAAAAACACTGCAAATCTGAAATGCAATTTAGAGTCTTTGCCATACTTACAAACGCGGTTACATTGAGACACTGCCCATTAAATGAATGACATAACCAAATGTCATTGTTGAAGTCATACATATCGAGCATAAGGCCTCGAACACCATTCTACAAAAAGAACAGATCTTAGTTCATTACTTTCATTTAACAGCTTAAAAGAACTCTGGATACAACTTCACGCAGAAGTATAGATTCTATTTATACATTTATGATATGTAATTGTCACCATAAACAGCCACTAAGCTATATTAGTCATTCGGCTCCAACTAAATCTAAAGAATCTAATAAACGAGAAAAAGTAAAAGAGTTTCAGCCAAAAGAAGCTAAAAAAAATCTAAAGATTAGTAAGATTAGTATCAATCGCTCAAATGTGGACATCAGACTAGTAGTTTGTTCAGAATCATAAGATGCTTATTTTTTAATCCAAAGCAAAACTTGAGTGGCAATTATATTCCCACACCTAATCCTTTGTTTTAAAGAAAAAAGCAATAGCATTTCATTGCTTCTTGACAAATTAACAGACTTTATCGATAAATTTAACAGAGAAATCATCAACCATATCTAAATAACAGGTCTTGACATCTGGCAATTATTGCAAGATAATCAGTTAACACTTAAAAATTAAATATCAAATACTCCTAAACTGTAAAAAAGGCAGTTGGAAGAGCACTGTGTATATATATACTTCAGATTCCAGAAACCATTTACAGCAAAACGTAGAGCTTTAATGATGAATAACAACAATTAAAATGATAACATAATTTGACATACGTTGAGCTGATCGGTGACGGAATCTTCCTGATTGGCCGGACCAAGAAGAATAGAACCGGTACCCGAATTGGACCCGGTCCGAGCGAACGAATTGTGAGTCGTCAGCCACGAATACTTATTGAACGGCAGCCCTTTGACCTTCTTCATAAAACCCAGAAAAAAACCCCCATAAAAATCACCTCATAATTCGATGAAATTTTTCGAAATCCTTACATGTAATATGAAAAACGAACTTTAGTACTGGGAATTATGGGCTGAATGCGGGTGCATCGTGGTCTGGTGTTGTCATTTGCAGGGCAAGTACCACAGATTAATCCGGCATCGCA